CCTCCTAGATCCTTCTGGCTGAACTGCCTTTCCCTTCAACTTCTTGATCGCCTGGGGGACGTCCCAATCCTCGTCTTTGCTGTGCACTGAACGCACATCCCCGTCCGAGGTCACCTTTGTCTGTGACCTACGGGACCGGCTCCTTCTAGACCGGGATGGACCAGCTTTATCCATCTCCCCGATCAGGTTTGTCGGAACGATCGGGCGAATGACGTTAGTTTGAGGCGAGGATTGTGGATACAATCCCGGATTGAAAAGTGAAAACCCTCCCGGCTGCTGGAACATGGACATGAAATGTCCAAAATTCTGAAGAGCCTGGCTGTACATTGGATCAAGGGGTCCGGGGAAATTTGAAGGAAAAACGGGAACAGGGTTCACGGGGGAAGTGAATGGGATAGGTGGTGGAATGGTGATGATGGGGGTAGGAACCTGGCTTGATGGTTGGGAACTTCCTCCCGGGAATGAAATGACATTCTCAGCGGGAGTAGAAATTTGTGAGATCACGGTTTCCTGATTACTGGCCATGACTTTTTTGTAATAGGTCCCACGGGTGGCGCCAATTTAATGGTGTAAATTACCACGCAAAAATTAAGTGTGAGTAATCGGAAGGGTTGTAGGTGGAATCACCTGTAACCCGGTTTGTTATTAACGATAATAGGAGTTATTACAAATACAAGCCGTGTAGGTTAATTAAAACATGCCTCACAAATGAGGCTTTTAAGGGTATTTATAATAATCCTAAGCACGTCAAGCACGTCTCTGATTATTCAACCGGTCAGGCAGCTGGCCGGCCCACCATGTACACTTGAGTAAATCTTCGGGTATTGGCATCTGGTCTCCTCATCCAACCGGTCAAATAACCCGGGCTGAAAAAGACGCGTGCTGTTCGGTGAACCAACCGGGTGGTATCCTTGGGTTATTACCCATCACCTCCTATCTTGATCGTTCTTCTCTCTCATTCTTCCTTCCACTCCCATAGTCACTGCAGCCCCCTATTGCCATCACGCCGCCGCCCCATCTTTCTGATATTTGAGTCTTAGATCTTCTTTCTTCTTCCCTATCTTTTTTTAAAGATCCAATTCTAATCTATTATTTCAATTCATTTGATAAAGGAATACTTATACCCACGAATTGTTCCTTCCATAGTGAAGTGATTGATTTTCAAAGAATCCTACATTGATTGATAAATCTATATTTTTTTACTATCATTATCTTTGTTGCTGTGTATTTTACTTTGACGGAGTATCTAATTTAGAGGTTATTAAGTGTGGAATTGTTGCTCTTCATAAATTTTTGTGACTTTAACACAGACTTTAGAGTTTTAACATGGATGTGCCTTGATGGATACAGAATTGGTGGCGTTGGTAGGGACGTGAAAATACTTTCTATTAAGTAAGGAAAAAATATTAATGAGAAGTAAAAAAAATTCATCCCACCTCGTCCCAAACAAACCCTGCTAACACTTTTTTTAAAGTATTGGTATATTTTGGATACATATTCTTTTATACTTCTTCCATCCTAAAACGTTTTTCCCAGTTACT